GTATTCTTGTGAAAGTAACACAAGGTTCATTACAAACACCAGCCTCTTATTTTTCTTGTAAAAACCTGTTTTGACAAGTATGTCCCAGTTCACATGGACACAGCTGCGAACTTACCCAGTGTCTTTATCAATGTTGGCTCAGTTTGGGTCGTTGAGCTGGACTTTGGAAACTTTGGATCTGAAGCTGCTGTGGTTTGCAGGACCTGTATAAAAACTCAGGTCCTGTTCCTTGTCGCCACAGCTTCTCTCCACAAGCTTAAAGGTCATATCTTTACATCAGGTCTGTTAAGTTGTTTAATATGTGTTGTTAATGTGTTGTGCAGGGATATCAGAACCAACAGAATCAGTAATGAAAATTTTATCAAATAAAAGTGACTGTAACCCCTATTTAAAGTCCTCCGAGGCATGAAAAGCTGAAACGCAGGCAAAGCAAATTTATAGACTGACAAAATAAGAAGACAGGTGGAGGAAAGGACTGGTGAAATAATGAGCAAATATGATCATTCTGGTGGATATGCCTCAGGCTGAACCAGATGTGCTACCGCTAGCTGCTGGCGCCTTANTATATATATAAAGAGGTATACTGTATGAGTAGCCTGCTCGGAAATCTGTTAAAAAAACTCTTTTATTTATTCTAATTTCCCGCTTTTTTACAGATCTTTCTAATAAAATGTTCACCTTTCCACAAGAAACAAACACAGCCCATGTGAGGCTAATAACATCAAGACAAGATCTGAGGGCTGTGACTGTCTGTTTCAGGTTAGCGCTGAATGTGTGACATTACAGTAAAATGACATATCTCTTGCAAAACCTAAACCATGGTTTAGTTGTTTGATGTTTTTAGGTCTTTTACAGAACTCAGAAAGGAGCACCCCTTATTCTCTTTGTCCTTGCGATCTGAAGCTAATGGTTTTCTTATATATAAAATGGACACTCCTGGTTTGTTTCACGTTTGGGTAAGAAACAAACAGACAAGCATTGAAGAACAGGACTACAAACTGAACAGGTGGACCTCCATTTGTGGCACATGGGATGCTGAATCTGGATTGGGACAACTGTGGGTGGATGGAAAGCCTTCAAGTCGAAAATACATCATCTCTGGATCCAACATCAACGAGCCAATGATAATCGTTTTAGGACAGGTATGAGGTCACGTACCACAAACTGGTTGACTTTAAATCTTTTTAAGAGATAAATGTGATCAGTATTAGCAACATGGCATTTACTTCTCGTGTGTGTGTGTGTGTGTGTGTGTGTGTGTGTGTGTGTGTGTGTGTGTGTGTGTGTGTGTGTGTGTGTGTGT